ATCCCGTGGGATGCGTTTTTAGTCCTTTGCTGTCAATCCAAACCTACTTACGTCCCAAAATGATTTGAATGGTGTCTCTAATCTGCGTGTTCTCGAATCCATGTATTTCCCTTTCTGTATCTCAACGGAACTCCAAGCACGCATCTCTGCATGCTTTTTTGCACACATTTCAGCTTTTTGTCCCATTTATTCTGTTAATGGCCACGTTTCTGGACCGGGTCGTACACACTGATTAAATACCTGTGACACATTGGCACGCCACTTTTCGTTACCAAGCTTACATCTGTCCAAAAGCACTCTTCCAACAACGCAACCTGCTCTTGCCTGCATCTTTGGCAGTCGTTTGGAATCTGTCCCACCTTCAAAAGCTCTCCCAGGTACTGAAAGGAACATTGTCAATTTCATTGTCACCGTCAAGCGCGGCCTCCGCGCGACATTCACCTACGAGCTCTTACCGTCCACGGACCCTGCAATCGATGGTGTCAGCTCGGGTGTTACATCAAAACCTGGGTCACGCCTGTCGCTCTCGGCCAGTGTTGACTCACTGGGACGCGCACGACGGAGGCTCAGGGTGAATTGCAAAAGGGACGTCTCTGCGAGGGACCGCCGCTCGTGTCGCGGGCGGCGTGAGACCAGGCCACGCCCGGTGGCGTGCCCTTATTTAGAGGGGTACACGAAAACATCGGGCGAGGTCGGGAGGACGGCGACGACGCGGCCAATGTGTAAACAGATTTTACATAAATGTGAAAGGACAAACAGGAAGTGCAACGAGATGCGATGCGTTGCGTCTCTCGTGTATCCCGTCGTAGCTCTCACACACACACCCCCATCCCGCCACCATGTTATGTGTACGGTGTATGAAGGAGTGCACATAGCCTGGCACAAGCGCCGCGGTGACGTCACCGCCACTTAGTGGCGAATCGCGGTTGTTGTTGTTGTAGTACGAATGAGGAAAGGCGCTTGCTAAAACTGGCAGACTTTGAATGAGAATCACCAATTGGTGTTTCGTGTCGTACCAACTACATCATTTGACTTCCAAGAAGCACCGAGCCTTCGGCTGTGGGGGCTTGGCCCCCCTCCAGACCCCCCCCCCCCCCCCCCCAGGCGCGGAGAGATGGTGCCACGCTCGATTCCAGTGCCCGTATCAAGGCAACATCAGACCGATCCCACTGCGGTTGTGCCGTTAGGGGCCGTCCATACATGACGTCACGCACCTGGGGGGGGGGGGGGGTCAGACATTTGTGACGATGTGTGACGAGGGGGGGGGGTGAGAAATGTGACGTCACATCAAAATGCGCAACTTTAAATAAATATAGACAACACGTTATACTTAATTAAATATACGTTTTAATAAATGTTTTCTCCTACAACATCAGAGTGCAGCGCCACATTAAATACGCACCACAATGACAATAGTTTAAAGCGATTTGAAGCATGTTTTATTTGGGGGGGGGGGACAGAGCTTTGTGACGTCATATTTGGGGGGGGGGTCTGACCTTTTTGTGACGCCGCGTGACAAAGGGGGGGGGGGGGGTCAAAAATCCTCCAAAATCGCGTGACGTCATTTATGGACGGCCCCTTACGCGCTGTACCGCGTGTTGCCCAGCGCGACCTCAGACGTGTCGCTCCGTGTGCCGGGAGCTTCCTCGGGATCTACATTTTATTCTAGATTTGAAGCTGTCGTGACTGCAAGGATTCATACTCTTAGCTCTTTCGGTAAAGTCACGTAGGTCAAAAATGAAATTAAAATTAATAAAAATAAAACAATAAAAAACACGACGTTTCGGAGGCAACACAAGCTTCCGTCTTCAGGTGAAACCGTCCCCCCTTTCATTTTTTACCTACGTGACTTTACCGAAAGAGCTAAGAGTATGAACTGAATTCTAGTTGGGAGTCGTGCTGAGCAGCATGTGGCACACAACCCGAAAACACATCGGAGAGCAATCGCTCCGGTATGATCCGTGCGAAGAGGTGCGAGGTAGGAAGGAGACCTGGGGGACTTGCGGATGGGTGGTGGATCAACAAATCCGCTCATTGTCCCAGTGGTAGGGTGGATAAAAGCATCAATTATTTAAGCTTCCACCAACGCGTGTCAGCGCGGCCACCCCTCTTCTTCGCAATGGAATTGGACAGTGTTGTCTGCTGAGATGCTATGCTCGGTGTTAAAATATACGGACCGCAGAGTACAGGTGTGCATTGTGATGCAAGTTCGGGAGTGGTGGCACGATGGGTTGTGCGCACTTGCGCTCTGAATCCTGCGGCCTGAGCCCGATTCCATGCCGCTGCTAAAGCGATTTGTGAACCAATCCTGGAATACACCATTCCCCAACCCGTACTGGCCAGCGGGATGAAGTATGGTCAAACAGCCCCCGTGACTGAAATGTGTGGGCAGGCTTACATCCGGCAGTGGATTGGCAAAGGGCTGGAACTGATTATTTTACCGCTTGAAATACGGGCATGATTCGCTTAACGCGCGTTCTATCTACGACAATTCGCTATAACGAGCAACTTGAATTCAAACCGATGTGCGAGCAGAGACCGATCGATCGAATGAGTTCCGTGGCGACCGTGGGGACGCGCCGCGGACAGCGTCGCTGTTTGTTTACCTGCTTGCGCTGTGCTGCGTGAGGATGGGGGCCTCGCGGTGTCGTGGTGGCACTGTCATGTGTGTGGGTGTCGGTGGGGGGAGTCGCTAATTAATTGCAGACGCTGAGGAAAGGCATGAGGAAAGGCACCTGCTAGCACTGTTGGCTCTGCGTATGTGGTAAGTGTTACATTCAATGTTGTATTACTCTGTTTTAAAATTATAATTTGTATTTCTCACGCAACAAAACGTACGTTGTTCAAAAGTGTTGTATTACTGTATATTTTAACACAGCCCTAAATGTTCGGGTTGAAACGTAGCTCAGCTTTCAACATGGAAGGGAAGTCGATGGGAAAACGAAGATCGTTTAACGAGTGTTCACTTACCGAGCAATATTTCGTGGAACGTATCTCGCTCGTTAAGCGAGATGCCCGTAATCGCCATCATTAGCCACTGTCCATCCACTGCTGGATGAAGGCCTCCTCACATCGTTGCCTTTCTTTACTGTCCATTGCTGCTACCACCCACATCCCTCCTGCAAATTAAATGATCTCATAGCTCCAACTCCAAAGTGGTCGTCCTCTTTGACGCGTATTTTTCCTCTGGCTACCATTCCACCACCAGTCTTGTTCATTGCAAATGGGAGATACGTCGGGTCATATCCAGGCTACGAACTAAGCAGTAGCTATGCTTGGCCCTGCATGTGATGCATAAGCTTTCTTGGTTAGATGCCAAGGTGAGTTCATGTAATTTTTACTTCCTGAATTCATTCTTGATTGAAAAAAAATCATAAGCTTCTTATCAAATGTGCTGGGATTATACATTTAGTGGGATCTTCGACGCAAGGGATTCCAGGAATGTTTCCTCATTAAGAGAATACAGATTTTTCTCTACGTGTTGTTAGAGGAAGAGTAGTTTTTTCCCCCTCGGATGGATTAACCCATATTTGAAGCCATCGGCTGATATGTTTCACAGAGGAACTACTTTCCAGGGAATTGCTCATCGCTGAAGCTGAGAGGTTAAGCAGAATTTAGTTTGGGTTTGTAGTTGGATAGATGGCCACCAGTGCTTGCCAGATGTTGTAAGCGTAGGCTGGTCAGTGCAGCCAGGAGTGCTGAGTGCAGTGGCGGAGCCAGTGGGGAGGGGGGGGTGGCACGTGCCCCCCCAATGATCCGATCGAAATCTTTAATTTCTATCGGATCATTGGAGTTTACTCGTAATAAATCGGCATTTTGCGACCCCGACTGCCACTGTGTAGCATATGATTACGTGCCAGGGACTCTATGAGATGATAGGACAATAGTCCGAGTCCATAATTGGCAATAAGTAACGGCAAAGCGGTTATAAGTGACTTACAAAATTGTGCGCAGTTGCGTTTCCAGTACATGACTTCCCTGAAGGCAAACACCTTCAGCGAGCGCGATGCCGATCACACACGCATCGAATAAAAAAGCAAGGGACAAGTCCTTACTTACGAAACAACTATCATTTTTCATTGCTGGAGGGGTTGCCCCCCCTACCTGCAAATCCTGGCTCCGCCACTGGCTGAGTTTCAATTTAAAGCTTTCGTGACTGCAGGGATTCATCTTCTTGGTTATTTCGGTAAAGTCATTCAGACACTGTCTTTCCGACAGGCCTGCTCTTCACCTGAGGACGGCTGCTTGCGTTGTGACCGAAACGTCGTAGGAATTATTTTATTATGTTTTATTTTTATTATTTTATTATTTCCCTTCTACGTGACTTTTACCAAAAGAAACAAGAAGAAGCTAAGCAGTGTTAGGCCTGGATAGTGCTTTGATATGTTTCCGGAGCTACTTGTGAGTAGCAGAGGGCAGTGCAGCAAAAGAAACTGCTGTACTGAACCTCTGTGCTGCTACATCTGTGCGCCCCACCTTCACAAACCCACCCTGGCCCGCATGAATAAATATGGTCAAATAACACCCACGACCCGCGCGCGGCACGGACGTGGGGAGGCTCTCATCCAGCAGTGGATTAACCAAAGGGCTGTGCACACATGTATTAAACACTTTGACCTAGATGTCCTGCGAGGACTACAGCTCAAGTCATAGTCGGCAAGCTATATTCTTGGGTTTTTTCGGTAAAGTCACGAAGGTAAAAAAATTAAATTTAAATAAAATAAAAATCACGACGTTTCGGAGGCAACATTTACTTGATACAGCAAGCGTGCTGTGACGGTTCCACCTGAAGACGGAGGCTTGTGTTGCCTCCGAAACGTCGTGATTTTTATTTATTTTTATTTAAATTTTTTACCTACGTGACTTTACCGAAAAAAACCCAAGAATATGAATCCTTGCAGTCACGTAAAGCTTCAAATCTAGAATTAGTCGGAAAGCTGTAATCCTGAGCTCGCTGTTCTTCGTGCTGCGTGTCGCGAGGAATCAGGTCGCCGCTTGGAGACTTCAGAACGTGTGGTCCTCATGGCCCAGGAGGGCACACAGCATGCAGAGGCCGCTCGGTGCCACCTCGCCCAGCCTGAAGGAGGTGACGCGTCGACCACCGTGGCGCCCCTGGCAGAGGACCCCGCTACCAGGCCGTGCGCTTGGCTGCACGGCGCCATGGCCAACGAGCGAGTGAAGCTCCTCGTGTGCTTCCTCGGCGTGTTCGTCTGCTACTTCTACTACGGCGTTCTGCAAGAGACCATGTGCGTGACGGACGTGTGGCCAGCGTAGTGTTGTGCGGAGCGGCAGTGTTGCGGGTAGCGCGCCGCCGCTACTTCTTCTTCTTCCTAGCGTTGTTCCCGCTGTGGTGCAGGGTCCGCTTTTCGGCATTGTCTTCTCCATTTGGCTCGGTCCAGGGCATCTTCAGGGGATGCGTTGACCGTCTTCATGTCTTCCTTTATTCGGTCCATCCATCGCTTCTTCGGACGTCCGCGTGGACGGCGGCCCTCTGACTCAATACGCACGGCAGTCTTGGCCACTGATGACTCTTCACTTCGCATCACATGGCCGTACCACCGAAGCCCGCCGCTACGAACCCGGCGAACCGAGTTCGATTCCCGCTCGCGGCCGACACCAGTGACGATTATCTGAACCGCTCCTGCGCAACCCACCCCCTGGTGTGCCCTGCTGGCGTTTATAGGTGCTCGCTAAGAATACTTGCTCCTCCAGTCTGTTAAGGCTATACGGGGGATCTTTGTCTTGTGCACTGTTCGACGAGAGGTGGTGTGTCTTCTGATTCACGCGCGCCTTTTTAAAAATATATTTCTATTTCGATTTAAAGCTTTCGTGACTGCAGGGATTCATCTTCTTGGTTCTTTCGGTAAAGTCACGTAGAAGGGAAATAATAAAATAATAAAAATTAAACATAATAAAATAATTCTCACGACGTTTCGGCCACAACGAAACGTCGTGAAAATTATTTTATTATGTTTTATTTTTATTATTTTATTATTTCCCTTCTACGTGACTTTAGCGAAAGAACCAAGAAGAATATATTTCTGTCCATAGAATGCCTGCGATCCAATCGGATGTGTCCGATTCTATCCGACATTGGGAGCGCAGTGAGGTTGTGAGCCTGGATAGTGCTAGGATGGGCGACCACGGAGCAGGCATACACGTGCAGTGGGCGCTGTCAGCAGCAGAGGTCTGTGCAGCACTCACCCGCCCACCTTCAACGGCTCGCATTGACCAGCGTGGTGAAGTATGGTCAAAAATCCTGCACGGGATGGGGGGGGGCCTTCGTCCAGTATTGGATTGACGAGCGCGATGCACATTAGCGTGCAGCTTACTCCGCTTCTTTGCTCAATTTATCATTTGAGGTCCATTTTTCCGATCAATATGTCATATTAGATAAAATGCACTGATTAATATGGGCGCCACAATGGCGAGATGTTAACTACTACCTCGTCTGGTATACTGGAGGTTGTGGGTTCGACCCTGATGCCTGTATATTTGAAGTTTGCATGTTTTCCCCATGGCCGCATAGATTTTCCTCTGGTTTTTTCCCTCCACATTTAGAAACAAGCGTTTCGAATATTTGGCTGCCATAAATTTCCACGTGAGAGCTATAATTTGTGGCCAGATCGCTTCTGAAAAAGATCTATATGGCTCAGTGAGCCTTACCTTTTAAAACAAAACATCGTTTAGTTGCATAGTTTAGTTTAATATGCAGAACTGAAGACGTGGCCGGTGGCCGAGACTAAAACAGCGGCATTATGAGAGAGGGAACAGTAATGTTTGAATAGCTTTAAGAAGAAGAACTAAAGAAGCAAGAGGATGAGAGGTTAAACATGGGGCTGGAGGGGGCACAGGGTGGGTAACATGGCGAGGAGGACTCGACGGGAAGGTGTGAGCTTGGCTGCTGTCTGCGTTATGTGTGCGGCATGTTGCTGCCGCCCATTCAGGTGTCAGCAACGCTGAGAGGACGTCCACCATGGATATATAATTTTATATCGATTTAGATAGCACCTTACCCCCAAGGCGCTTTACAACAAATAGAAAATTGCACATAAGATCATCGTGTTTGAAATAAATAGTGGGGTTATTAAAAGTGCTGGTGTGGTTATGTTGACAGCTTGGAGGACAGGTGGGCGTGGTTAAGGAAGGGTTGGGTGTATAGTTGTAGGGGTAGTGATCGGGATAGGGGTGATGATCGGGGTTGGGGTAGTTCTGATCGTAGCTGGGGGGCAGGGAGTAGCAGTAGGGGAGAGATGGGGAGAAGAGATTGGTTTTAAGGGAGGAACGGAAGCAAGTTAGTGAAGATGATTGTTTGATATGGAGTGATGAAATCAGATCGTGTCCAGCTCAGACATTGTAAGCTCTCTGAGCTGGGTGGGTTGTTACATTGCTTGAGTGTGAGAGAAGAAGATGGCTTTGGGAGGTTTTCATCAAGCAGTGGATTGATCATAGCTGATGATGATGGTGATCATTCGGAGCTTGAGCCCTTGATTGTGAATTGCACAAACAAATGACGTTTACCTGCCCAGGTCTCGTCAATTGACGTGAATGGGTACCAGTGTATGGATGTGTAGTGACATCGCGGAATGTCACTGTGCTGTGCTGGCCGAGAGAGGCACGGCGCGATGTAACGACATCAGCGGACACCACTTTATGGGTGTAGTACCGGCCCTAGAGGGGCTTAGTGAGCACCGGTTGATAGCGCTAGGTGGCACCACGCTTGGCATGCAGTGCCAGCCCCACAGGATAAGGTGTGGGTGTGCCGGGGTTACTAAAGGCCATGGCACTCTGGTTGACCCGAGAGGACACGTGACCGGTTAAGTCTACAAAGGGGCCCCAAGTGGGGCTAGGGGTGGTCACGTGGTCCGGGTCCAGATCCTGCTCGAGGATTCTGGAAGGTGGTCGTGGCCAAGGGCGGAGCCAGCCACGCCGCAGGGAATATCAGCCGGGTCCCCCAGAGAGACCGGCGTTGTTGTTTATCTTGAAGAAGCCTTCGTCTACGTCCTACGTTCTACCGAGTCTCCAACACGTCAATCTAGACCTGAGCTGTGGTCTGGTCCAATGTAGCTAGTTATTTTGTAATTAGTGTAGTTAGCCTGGTGGTCACCACCATAGGTTTTTATTCTGTCAAGGGGCAGTTACCCCGCGTGTTGGTGTTAAATAAATGTGTTGCCTCCAAGAGTATGTCTGCGACTCAATTGAACTCACTAAAACTGGTGTCGGAAGTGGCCAAACGTTCTTTTATTAGTAAGCTAGCCGAGTTAGGTTATGTTTACGCGAAGCAGACTACATTCCAGGACGTCGAACGATGAGGACGACGAAGTTATCCCTCAAACAGCCCCAGGGATAATGACCCTAAATTACTGCGGGAGGTGTGCGACTTGTTGGGAACAAAGAAAGTACGTACGTCGCCATACCACCCCCAGACTGGATGGAATGGTGGAGCGGCTGCACAGGACTCTGACCTCTATGCTGAGCCATCAGGTCAGTGAGTCCCAGCTTGACTGGGACTTGCATATTCCCGGAGTCCTGGCTACCTATAGAATGGCCCCTCACCATTTTTTTGATGTACGGAAGAGAACACGACCCCCGATTGATGTCCAATTATGAGCCGCGCCAAACAAGGCTAAATCTAACATTTCTGACTCTATGCGCTTTACCCTTTAGAAGCTTTCGGAAGTGCGTGAGGCATCTAGAGAAAATCCCAATTCGTGGCAATTGGCAAATGAGCGACTGAGGGGTTCCCGCCTTTCTGCACAAAGAGTGGGTTCCAGGTAACAGAGTCTGGTTGCACTGTCCACAGGTACCGGTGGGTACGTCACCCAAATTGTTTAAACCCTGGAGGGGGCCGGTTGATGGGATTCAGGTCGTTCGGCGCCGAGTGTGTCCAGATTCGCTTGGATTGCCGGAGTTGGTTTGTACATCCCTCGCGCCTCAAGCCTTTCATCGCACCGGGTGAATTCATCCCATCTCCACGACGCAAGGGGCCGAGTGTCAGATGTGTCTGGCGAGCTGAGGTGCATATCCGCTGAGGTTGGGCCTCAGGGGAGTCATGTGATCCCGTCCTCAGGTGCCGCGCGTTTAACGTCCCCAAAGCCGCCACCTGCGCCGTCTCCACTGGATTCGGGAGAAGAGAGCCCGTCTGCCCTGCCGACTGCTCTTCGTGCGTATCCGGGTTCGATGGGACATTTGCAATTGCCCCAGGGACATCCAGGGAGAGTAAGCCTACCTCCCCTGGGGGCCCGGCCACAAGGACTCGATCAAAGACTCTTCGGTTTTCGTGATCCCCATACACACGCGCTCCCACACCGTCAGTTAGTTGTCACACTCAGCAGGCCGTATTGGTTATTGGCTAAACCTAGCCTTGATTGTGCTTGCGGGTGTTGTTACACGGTGAGGGTGGGAGATGCTGGTGATGGAGGGGCGTCCCGAGCGTTCGTGTTTTACTGCATTTTTTCTCTCTCTATCGCGGACACCACTACGATGTGGGTGTAGTACCGGCCCTAGAGGGGCTTGGTGAGCGCTGGTTGATAGCGCTAGGTGGCACCACGCTTAGCGTGCAGTGCCAGCCCTACAGGATAGGGTGTGGGTGTGCCGGGGTTACTAAAGGCCATGGCACTCTGGTTGACCTGAGAGGACACGTGACCGGTTAAGTCTACAAAGGGGCCCCAAGTGGGGGCTAGGGGTGGTCACGTGGTCCGGGTCCAGATCCTGCTAGAGGATTCTGAAAGGTGGTCGTGGCCAAGGGCGGAGCCAGCCACGCCTACGTTCTACCAAGTCTCCAACACGCGGACCTGGACCCGGGCTGTGGTCCGGTCCGTGGTAGCTAGTTATATTGTAATTAGTGTAGTTAGCCTGGTGGTCACCACCATAGGTTGTTATTCTGTTAAGGGGCAGTTACCCCGTGTGTTGGTGTTAAATAAATGTGTTGCCTCCAAGAGTGCATCAGATGTAAGGAGGAGAATCTACACTGTGGGTATAGCCCGATACTGCAGTTCGTGGCTGAAGGGTAGCCTCGTGGCCTTAGAGAGAGATGCTTCCATTTTAGGGACTAGTCGTGCTGTCGTTCAGTGAGTGACCAGCAAACTGAGTTGAATTCCCAGCCACGAGCTAACATCAGTGGCGGGTGATACTTCAATTGGGCCTGGGACGCTCACTTCACCGACTCGCATTGGCAAGCCCGGTGAAGAACGGTCAAACGGTACATGACCGAAGTTGAGGTTGGGGGAGGAAAGGGTTCTTCGTC